GAGTCCTACTTGACAAACTTTTTCGTGTCATGTATTGTCTCGTTGACTGAAACATAGGTGAAAGCACCAAGTGCAATGACCGACTTATTGCTTTTTACTGACTCAATTCCCATGATAAACTATTCTTCTTCTCGATGGATTACTAACGACTTAAGTCAGTCACTCATTCTGCACATCTATCTATCCTTTTGGAATGAGACAAAGTTTACTGAGATCGTGGCAATATGATAAGTGCATGTCTGCATTTTTTTTAACTCAATTCCATTCGGGAGCTATATAAATGCGAAAAACGATTATTAACAATTGAGAGTTTCCTTATATGGTCATATATGATTCAGTTTGAAAAAGGTCATTGATATTTCAGATGTCATATACAACAATTGAATGCATTATAATTTCTTTTACGGAAGTCTAAGATTTAGAAATAGTAACAATCGATATTTTCGAATGTCATTTAAGCTCAGATTGGATCTACATGAGGGTCTCGATAAGATTAGACAAATTCTAAAATGAATCATGCCTATGAAGCTCCGAAACCGACTTATGACCGTTTTTATTAAATTCTCGATTCAGTTTTAGGTATTTACTGAAAAATCAAATGATAGTCTTTCGATCAGAAATTTCGTCGATAAACAGATAAAAAAAAATGAATAGAATGCCCTGAAACTTTGAACCGAAAAGAATGTTCCTGTGTCAAGATATTCTACTAGTTATTCGAACTGTTTATGGACGAAATTTTAGATCAAAAATGCAATAAAAAGGTCATAATTCGACTTTAAAGTCTAATAGATACGAAACCCTTTTAGGATTTTTTAGTCTCACCGAGACCTCCTTGTAAACTCAAGATGAGTTCAACTTTCGGGTACCACTTTAGGTAGTTTCCTCGTTAGTAACTAACTCGCAAGATGTTGAAAGAAAAGATTGAGATCAAAGTTCAAATGATTTAATTTATTTAAAGCAAAGCGGAAACTTTGGAGTCTAAATTTTATGACTACCATAACAGCATCAATAGTCTTCAAAAAAAAAATTCTCCAATTTCTCGTAATCTTTTGTGAATCAAGGTTTCTATCTATTCCAAATGAGTACTACTTTTTTTTTTTACTGACACGATACAAAAGTACGATAATATATCGAATTCGCCTTTGGGTATACCTTCGAAATAGTCTAATATACCATTACCAAAATCAAAGTAACACTATTACTGCAAGTGCAAAAGGATCTTCAACACTTAACCTGATGCTACTTGAGAAGATCTAATCGTTGTTGTATTTCGTTTCTTACTTATACTTTTTTGCAATGAATGGGTCGTCCCTACAAGACAGCTTGGATGAGAGGGCGTAGCACAGCAATAAAAAAATAATTAGTATGCTTGGTTCACTGCAATAAATACTATTTTAAAAGACGACAATTATTATTAAATAAAAATGACGACTTATTTTATGCATCCCTGACTTATTTCGTATTTTGATTTTTTTTTTACACAACTATGACCTGTTTCTCATACTTTTCTTATTTGCATATTTATTTATATATAGTAACTATAATTTGCCAATGGCAACATAATTAATAGTTCTATATGTGCGTAGTTATAAAAGAAATGAAGAGTGATTGTGAATTGAATAAATTCACTAATGATAATGTTGAATATGACTACAACCAGGTGAGATGGTCAGAAAACAAAAATTATACTTACTCAGAGATATTGGGACTATTTCGTTACAATGATCCTTTGTCAAAGAAATCTATACATCATACTAGCAGAAGTCGACAAAAAAAAAACGCTGGAAATGATGATATCAATATAGAAAAACACAATAAAATTGTGTAACTTTCATTAAACACAAATAAGAAGCTGTTTATCAACCTGAATTTGAAATCAAAGAACTAATTTACGATCTCTACGGTAATCATGAACGACAGAAGGTCTTTCAGTGGAAGGTGTAGAGTTTAGAAAAAAAGAAACATGTCAAAAAAAAATCTATTTTTAAGTCTCTCACAAAAAATATATAATACACTAACTCGATCAATACGAATAAATCTATGATAATAAAAAAAAATTTTTCCATATGTTTTAATCAAGAGAAAGCGAAAATAGATAAAATACTTCAATACATGTGATATATAGAACGGGAATAAAAACAAGAACGAGAGAGACAAGAAAAAAATTTTGTTCTATACACTGAATGACGCTGCATATAAGACACGAGAATGAATGAAGAATGACAACGGAAGTGCAAAGAGAAAAATAAAAAAGCGTTAAAAGCAAGCTCATAGAATTTTCTACTATCGTGTATATTCCATCGTTCTATCAATGAAATATTCATCTTTATTAGATAAAAATATATTCAATTCGGTCTCAATGTTTTTGTCTATTGTCATTTATGATTTTAGATCCATATGAAACTTCGATTCTTAGATATAACAATTAAACAATAGAATTCAAAAAATAGTTTTCAAAAAATAATAATAATAAAATCATTCTGAATTGATCTTTATTTTGCGCTGTATTGAGTAGTAGTATGTTATTTCCTCTCTTCTGTTATTGTATTACTATTCATGTTATTTTTCCGTTCGATGTGGTGATGTATTTTTCATTTCGTTCTTCTTTTCTTTCCTTTCCTTTCCTTCGTTCTATAGATTGTTCTCTTTTCTCTCTTGATATTTTACAAATGATTTTCCCTTCTCATGTATCATCACCTATGGGATATCTCATAAGTAATTTTCCCTACTCATGTATTATCATCTATGGGATATTCCATTTTACGGACTTTTTCACTGATTTCTCATGTATGTTGGAGAAAAATTAAAATACCTTTTACACTCAGTCGTATTACATTTTGATCGTCATAGAAATACTTTCATAAATTACTTGATGATCATATTCAAGGTTTGAATCACAAATTTAGAGATAAGTTTTCTATAAGACAATCATTGTATGATAATATTGTTTTGGTTCTCTAGAATGATTGAAGAGATTGTCAGTTCGAATTCTAGGAATATAAGAATTTTAAAATAATCAAAAATTGATGACTTAGTTAATTTAGAAATCGACAAAGTAAACAGAAAAAGTGTTACAGTTAAGACACTGATATGTAACATAATATCGGTCCTGACAACTTCAAATGATATGAATAGCTTTCAATTATGTACAACATTAATATGTGTAGTTTTCTCACGGTTTCAAACACTCGCTCTATTCAATTTATCCAACTGTAACTTTTGCAATTTACATGATGTCGATTCAACAATATTATCAACTATGAAAATCATTGAAGCGTGCAAAATGTATGCCAGTGTATAACCAATTAGTCCTATTGAAGCCTGTAACTACAATAGTACTGATTTGACAGAGAGATCTTGGTGTCAAGCAACAGAAATTCAATGTGGTACCAAATATCATTCATCAAAAATCCAATCATGTTCAAATATCTAGCTCAAACTTCATATTTTTTTTATAGGACAATAATGAAGTTTATATTATGTGTTCAGAGATATTAAAAACTTTTCTATAAGAAAAAATTGAAATTTTAATTTTTCGTCCAATATATATATATAGTTGTTCATCTGTTGCAATAAAGGAGAAGAAGCAGCAGACTATTTTAGTCGTTATTGTCATTTTACATTTCACGTGAGGATTACGCTTCACACGTTGTATTTACAATAAACATTTTTCTCTCAACAATAACAACATTTCATCCAAAAAACAAATATATTAATGAGATATTCTGTATTAATAAACTTCTAACAGTCATTAGGGAAAACTATCTATATGAAAATTGACATTTAACGTCTGTTGAGAATAAATAAAATTATCAATGTTTTTTTTTTCGTCAATCTAAAACTCATAAATAAAATATACAAAAATCTATTATGTAGTCACTATCTTTCGATATACTTTTTTTTTTATCTTTTTACAAGTTTTCAATAAAAATATTGATTCATTTTATTTTAATTCTAATAAGGTTCAACATTCATTGAATTTAATAACTCATTAAATAACATATCCAGATGAACAGAATCATACTATTGACACACAAAATAAATTCATCTGAACAATTCACATCTGTTTTTCTTTCATCTATGATTTGTGTATGTCACCTTCATATTGTTTTTATTTCTATAATGAAATTCTCTTAGGTAGATGCACTATAAAATAAAAAATAAACATACAAATAACATGGATTATTTAGTTTATTACAGTCAATGTAAGTTTTTGATTTATTTTTAAAATGATTTGTGACTAAAAAATCATTTCTATTGACCTTGCCAGTACGATTTCCATTTGTTTATCTAGTCAATACTATGCAAATAAAAATAAAAATTTCTGAATTTAAAAAAAAAATAAAAAACTATATTTACTTTTTTTTCTTCGGTTATATAGTTGCGAACAAAAAAAAAATCAAAAGTATTGAATTTTTTTCTTTTCTTATCATATATATATATATATCGAAAAAAAAAGAACTACGAAAATTTTCAGCTCTTTCAATTTGCTCATTCAAACAAGTAAAATTGATCAACAGAGCAAAGTATAATTTTGTTAATTTCATATTTCATATCGAAAATGTTGACAACATCAACTAATTTACTATGTCCAACTTGTTCAAATGCTCTTGGATTATCAGAAAAAATTAACTTTTCTCGTAAAGTAAGTAATAGAGTTAATGTCTAAAGATTTTGATTAGACAATAACAGAATAAAGATTTATTAAATAAACGATTCTCGTATGGTCATTGCTTAATTAAGAATACTTATCTTCTTTGAAACATTCAAAGTGAATCTGTAACAAGGAAATAAATTCAATTGTTCTTTATGTACTCAAAACATTCATCGACATGTTCTTTTTTTCTCTCTCTCTTTTGTATAAAGGAAACATGAGTACTACAATACTATCACATACTTGTCTTCGACAAGGACAACATCTTTGAATCATTTGCAATTACAATTCTCTTTTTTCATAACAGACATGGCATAAAGCATGTTTCCGTTGTAAAACTTGTAATATGGAATTAAATTCAGATAATGTAAAAATGCGAGATGATGAAAATCATACTCTCTATTGTATTCGGTAAGTAAATAAATGAAATAAACTTATAAAATATTATTGTCTATGTTAGACATTATCCAGATGATGATACTGTTTCAATCGGTAGTGATACTTCAATGTTAATGTCATTATTTGATCATAAACAAATATCTACACAACAATCTGATCATGATTATCCATCGAATTGGACTGTTGATGATGTTACAAAATGGTTAAATGATATGTCATTAGAACAATATAGTGATAATTTTCGAAAAAATGATATTGATGGTTCTGTATTAATTGATGAAACTGATGGTGTTAATGATGACACTATTAAACAATTAATTCCATCATTAGGTACACAATTAAAATTTAAAAAAGCATTAAGAATATTACGAAGGTAAATTTGATAATAGATAATTTGTTTTTTAATTATCCTTTTTTTTATTTTAATTAGTCGTGCACATACTCCACATAGACCAGGTAGTGCACTTAATGCAGCTAAACAAGAATCTGAAGAACATCGTAAACTTTTACAAACTATTCAACAACAAGCAGAACAAATTAGTTCACTTATTTCAACCGTTAATACTCAGGTTTATTTGATGAATTCATTATATAGTAACATTTTTATTTATATTTTCTTTTTTTTTCTATTATTAGGCTAAACAAATAGAACAATTCGTTGCAAAATTAGCAGCAATACCAAAACCACCACCACCTATTGATGCATTTAGTAAATCATCTTCAATTGTTCAAAATCAATTACTTGATTTACCATCAAATACACCAAAAATAGCTTTAGTATCATCTGATAGTCCAGCATCAGCTATTCCAGCTATTGATTCTGTAGCACCATCTTTATTACCATTACCTGCCAATAGTCATATTTTAACATCAACAACAACTTCAGTTCCAACTTCAGTTGAAGGTCCACAAGGATCAAGTGGTGTTACATTTCCAGCTGTTGTTCATCCTAATATCGATGGTATTGCCATAAAACCAGTTATTGATGATATATATAATTTTCAAAATTATGGTAAATATGCGGTAACAATATTTGATCAAAATTCAGAAAATGTTCTTGTACAAACATTAGTTAATGTTGTACCAGAAAATGAAATATGTATACCAAAAACATTTATTTTACGTGATTCAATTAATAATATACTTGTTGGTGCTACTGTTAAATTAAAATTACATGATCAAGTTGTTTTTACTGGTATTACAGATTCTACTGGTACGGTTAATTTGCCAACAACATTACGAAAAAATTGTTATGATGTTGAAATTCATGCAAGTGATACTCAACATAAACCATCAATATTTCGTATGATTGTTTATGAAAATCGTGGTTCAGATATTAGTACACAATTTATTTGTCGACAATTAGATAGTGATCAACTTGAAATTGTTCTTAAATGGGGTTTAACACCACGTGATCTTGACTCACATTTATTTGTTTCTGATGGACGACATGTTTATTATGAATCAAAAGTTGACGGAAATGTTTCACTTGATTGTGATGTTACAAATGGTAATGGACCTGAAACAATTAAAATACGACTTGAATCTGGTTTAAAATATCTTTATGTCGTCCATCGATATTCTCGTGATGGACAACTAACAAAATCAGGTGCAACAGTTACATTTAATAATAGTGCTATAACAAATTCAGCAGCTCTATACCAAATTGTTCAAATACCTGTTGTTAATCAACCTAATGCTAATTTTTGGATTGTTTGTGAAATTGATGGAACAACAAAAAATATTCGAATGTTTGAAAATGCATTTGAAATTCATAATAACTATTCATCGGATGAAATTGGAAAAAAATATTTGAATAAATAAACTTGTTTTTTTTATTATTATTGTATATAGAGTTTTTGAATGAATAAATAAAATTTTATATAGAAAAAAAAATGCAAGAATATGAATTAGATTAATGAAGCTGAATAGCGAATTTATTGTATAGTTCTCAAAGATTACATTTTTTTTTATTCGATGTCAAAGATAAAATCTTTTTCTCTTGAACTAATAAAGAAAAAAAAAATATCATAAAAATGTCGAAGTTTTCCTCTCACGAAAGTAAGTTTAAGTGATCATCATACTTTCTTAAAAGAACTTCTCTACCAGACGAAGAACATCTATTTTATTTTTCAAATGCAAGACAAAATTTTATAAATCGGTAAAAGATTACGATTAAGATTAGGTGACATCTATGTTAAGTATTTAATTCATCCGTTGCTATGTTATGTCTAATGCGCATTGTCAAGGTGAATGGTAAAGATAAAAAACTTTACATTCGAAATTTTCATTTTCGTTTTATTTCTTTTTTTAACAATCATGCCAACAAGACCAGGTGCCGAAAAAAAAACAGTATGCATATATTGTAGCTTATTCTCTATATACTAATTTACTTTTATTTAAGGCTCATCCAGCTGCTGGCGGAACAGCGGCTCAAAAACGATTGAGTCAATCTCATCGTGGTTCGTTAGGAGAATTTCGAGTAAGATAATCAATTTATTGATTAACTATTCAAATAATTCTTTATAGGATGATGAACCAGAATTAGGTAATATGCCATCTACTTATATGGGCGAAGTAAATTATCCATTGAAAGTATCTTATTTGACATTTTTTTTCCGTTTCTAATTAGCATAATTTATTCGGTCGTCCGGAAGATCAATTAAAACTAACCGATGCAGTAAATTTCTTTTAAATTAAACATACGTATCTTTTTATTATAATAATTGGAATCATTTAAAGGAATTAAATGAAGAACATACTCGAATTCTTACTGCACGTAATCCTCAAGCAGCTGAAAATATTGTTCGATTTAGTTATAAAGTAAATTAAATTAACTAATTAAAAAAGCATTATTTATAAATCTTATTATTTAAGGATCGAATGTTTAAACTTATTCCGCAAGTTGATCAATTAGCTGTTCATTTTCAACTTGATAGTAATCTTGTTCAGAAAGATTCTGAAGACGGAAAACGACAATTACTTCATGAGGCCGAAGGTAATTCAATAGTGTAATATGTATAAACATAACTCTTTGGATTTTTAGAACAGAGAATGCAAGAAGCTGAAGTAACAACACCAGCAGCTGAAGCAGATGGAGTAAATTAAATAGAACAAAAAATATATCTATTAATTAAATTGTTTTTTTTCTCATTTAGGAAGTAATAACAAAAGAAACTGAAGAAGAGGATGAAGAAAAACCGAAGAAAACAACAGCTCCAACTGGTAAAACAAAAAAACTTACGAATCAATTTAATTTTAGTGAACGAGCATCTCAAACATATAATAATCCATGTCGAGTATGTTGTTTTATGTTGCTGACAATTCAAAGTTTTTTTTTCTGTAAGGGTTGAATAGAGGTCATTGAGTTAACTATAAAAATGTTGTTTTTGTTGTATTCAAAGGATCTTTATGTAATGAAATTTAGGTTTAAAAAAAATTAGAAAAGCCTAAAAAAAAATTCCAACATGCCAGAAGCATCAAGTCTCAATATTTATCGGTATTTTTGTCTCGCTAATATAGATTTTCGAAGAAAATAGTGAATAGAAGTTTTGCAGCTCCCTACTCACACTCTTCCCATTAAAGACCTTAGCAACCGGAATTAAAAGTGCTGAACAACATTATTAACAAGGTTTAGAAGATTCTAGAACACTTTAGATCCAATGCTTGAAATTTTAATGGGTACAAGACGCTTATCAATATCCTAAATAACGCATTTTCTGATTGTTGTAAACATAAATGATTATATGATAGATATCAAAAATGTTATGAAAATGAAATAAAAGAAAAATAAATAAATATCAATCGAATATCAACAAGACAAAGAAGAGAGAAATGCCAGTCAAAGAACAAGAAAACAAAATTTCTGTTAAAAATGTAGAAATAAAAAAGACACAGCGTTTGCGGACAATCGATTATCGTCGGAAAAGAACTATCATCTTTTACAGATTTCATACTTTGCTTATTTTTTATTAGTACAACTAAACTAAAGACGACATGTGAGTTCCACATTTCCACCTCCAAGGGGCTGCCGCTCACAAATATTTTTTTTGCTTTTTTAAATACTCTGATCTGTACTTCGCCTAAAGTAGAAAATTAGTTTTAACTATTGATTATACCATTTGATGCGAGTTTTTTCGTTGATTCTCAATATAATACGTATTTCGTTTGAAACTGAAGTCATGATGGTCAAAATCTTAGAATTCAGATCTCTATTCATGGCATTTTCCTATCGTATAAAAAAAAATCGGTTTTTCTAACAATATCTTTCAAAAAGCATGTATATTTTTTTCCTAATCATAAGAAGAGTAAGATCAAATCGAAAAACTATTAACACAATCACTGCGAGATTAAAATGTGAATCAAGACATAGTTGCTGTTGCTAACTAGAGAGAGGTAGTTTTATTCTATCTATTTTGCCACACTTTTCTTCATCATCATCTTTTTACTTAACCCTTCAGCAAGGCAATAAGGAACTACTAGTTCATGTATGGTCTGCGATCGTATGTCGGCAACGGCTCTCACATGTTATGATGTGAGAAAGGAAAAATGTTACTAAGGCATCTGTCACAGTTGTGATGAACAGTTCCTAACATGTCTGTGACGTTTCCATGGTAATGTTTGTCATGATTTATTTGGTAGGAGAGAGAAAAGGACAAATTTCTACCCTGTATACTCAAAACACCCCTTTTAGATCGAATAAATATTGAGATTTCATGCTTATGACATATTTCAAATTTTATAGGTAACTCGATAAACTGTATTCACCCCTGCCAAAAAAAAACCATGTTGCTCATATTTCGAATTGTCGGCTCTATTACTTGTAATATAATTTGATATCAATATTTTCGTATGTTTAGGATCGTGAAACATTTGTTGAACAAACACCACGTGCTAATTTGAGTGATAATGTATCTCAATGGTCAATATGTGATGCATATAATGAAGATTTTGAACAACAAGTAAAATAAATTTCAACAAAAACTCTTTCATTTTATTTATATTTTAGCAAAAAGCCAAAGAAAAAGAACAAAAAAAAGTCTCGATCAAAAAAGAAGATGAACGAAAGAAAAAATTTGTTGTTGCTGACCAACATGTAAAACAAAACACGATTCAGTTATTCAAAAAAAAAACTATATATATATATTGACTTTTCATTTATATAGGCTGTTGATGACATGACAAAATTTGCACGATCAAAATCAGCTAGTATATCATTGAAAATAATCGAACGAATGATTAATCAAAATACATTTGATGATATTGCTCATGGTATAACTTTATTCAAATTAATCATAAGCATTTTACATATTATGTATATACATAATTCTAGATTTTAAATATTGGGAAGATGCTGCTGATGAATATCGTGAACAAGAAGGAAGTCTTTTACCATTATGGCTTTTTCAATATAATATGGTAAAAAAACTTGCTTGTACAAATTTAACTTGGAATACACATTATCATGATTTATTTGCTGTTGCTTTTGGCTCATGTATGTTAATTATTAATTTTTTATGATTGATTTTTATTTTAATTAAACTTTTTTTTTTTTGTTTTTTTTGTTTAATAGATGACTTTCTCAAACAAAGTCGTGGCATGTTTGTAATCTATTCATTGAAAAATCCAAGTTTTCCAGAAAATGTTTTTCAAACAGAAAGTGGAGTTATGAGTTTGGATTTTCATCCACAATATTCTAATCTTCTTTGTTGTGGTAAGTTTATCTATATAGAGTAAAAATAATCATTCATACTAATCATTGAATAGATATTCTTTATGAAAGTTTAGAGTAGAATTAATTTACTAATGTTTATAGAGATAAGAGAAATATCTTCTATTGTTGTATTAAAAAAGATTTCTTGAGATGTTTAGTAAATAGTTATTTGAAAAGATTAGCTAATCAATTGAGTTTCATTTATAGAAGCTACTTGGGTCCTTTCTATAGACACGATCAGAAAGCTGAGCTATCTCTTAGAACCTTTTTCTGGTTGTGTTCCAACCTATAAGTCTATAATCCTTTTTTTTTGTAAAAATGATACATATAGATCTTAACACAAACACAATACACTTTAAAGAAATCTTGAAAAAAAATCCTGAAATTTTATATTACGTAGAGAATTCGTACGACTGCTATCGAATGTAATTAGAAAACGTCTCTACATAGTTCAACTTCGATGAAACCTTGATATATGATGCATCTAATAGAAAACTTAATTGACTATGTAAATTACTATTTGAAATTTAGTTAGGTACTCCGCATCACAGAAAATAAGTCAAAAGCACTTCTTTCTTCTAAATTTGTCTATTACGTTTTTTTTTTCATCTGAATAAATTTTCTCTAGCTAGGTATTATCTATCATTCGTATAGCAAAGACATGGTTTTATGATTTTATCATACTGTCTTTAAATTAGTTCAATATTAAAATGTTCTTTTTTTTTCTTATTTTGAAACAATAATTTAACTTGAATGAAAAATTCTATTTTTAGGTTTTTATGACGGTTCAGTAGCTGTCTATAATATTGCTGATGAAAACAAACAACCAAAATATCAAAGTACGTCTCGTAATGGAAAACATACAGATCCTGTTTGGCAAGTACGAAGACAAATTTTTCACTAAGATTATATTAACTATAAATTTTCTTCGCATTTGAGGTCTACTGGCAAAAAGATGATTTAGATAATAATCTGAATTTCTTTTCTGTCTCATCCGACGGTCGTGTTGCTTGTTGGACTATAGTTAAAGTAAATTTTAATATACGAAAAAAAAAATTGTTTTCGTATATAAACAATGATTTAATTTAATTTAGAATGATCTTATGTATAC